TACACCCAGACAGTAGTCACAGAAATTTATATTTAGTTCCACAAGAACTGTGCATTAGACATCCTTAAGTGTTTTATGAGGCAGGACTTTTCTGACTATTCTGACGAAAACACCAGTGTGTGTAGTAAGCAGAGCTTTGAACAAATATTGCAGTTATGATTTACAGCACAATTGCCAGAGTCTTCCCAGCTTCATCTTTGATGGCTACTTACTCAGGCTGTCATTTTTAGCTCCGCAGATTATATCTGCCTTGGCCTCTTCCACAAACACTGGACTCACTGGAGTGTGTTGCAGACAATACAGCTCTCAAACAATGAAGCATTTGTGTTCATTTTCTTCTATTTTATCTTTGGAATTCTACTATTTAGGTCACTATCTGTTGCTTCCAGCTATTCTTTCCTGACAAATTGTAGCTCTTTTTAGGCTTAAAAAGATATAATCAATGAATTCATCTATGTTATTCCTTTGGGTATAAAGGTCTAGATGTAATAAGTGGTACACATAGTATAAGATTACATTGCCATTCCTGAACTGCAGCCCCCAAGATTAATTGTGCCTTATAGGCCAAAATTTGAAAAGCTGCTGGATGCTGGCCTCTCTGAAAATCTGATACAACTAACACAATAAAACCTCAATATTACTATATTTCTCAAATGCTTTAAACATGACCCCTCACCAGCACGAAGGGTGTGAATGTATGGATGTATATTCCACAACACGTAATTTTAGCTACACATAAGGAGAATAATGATGAATGGATCCTTTACCTGATCATATCTGCCTTTTCTAAAACCAAAAAAATCCACCACAGGTTTTACTTGAAAAAGATAATCCTTGGATTTTAGCGAGTAACATCACTCATCGTGAAATGCGTCAATATCTGCGGAACAAAAATTATACTCGGGTGTGGGGACATACAGGAATTCCATTTACATTTAAACGTAAGCTCACTGATTGCACTGCTCATGTAAAAAATTACTGTGCTCTGAATGAAACGAAGATGAGTGCTTAAGCAAACAGTCATAAATTAATTTATAATGAAACATGACAGTCATAATTTAATTTAGAATGTATTTAAGATTGTTGTTACTATTTGTATAGGTCTTTTTTGCCTGGAGGAAGATGTGGCTTCATAGTGAAATGTCAGCTATTGAAATACCAAACTTCTTATGTGTACATGTGTATTAATTAATTAAAATGGTGTAGATGCTTTCCTAATGAAGATCTGTTGTCTACTGCAAGCAGTCAGACAAAAGCTTGCCTGACTGAGGCACATGCAGTATCAGTAGGTCACCAAGAACTTCGAGGAACCATGAGGGGTGCGGAGCATAACCTGTAAAATCTGTGGGGCCGTGAGGCTGCTGTACGGAGCTAGCCATCTCTAGCTACAGCCCTGCTGCGTTGCTGCCTTTAATATCCAGATGTTTGACAATTAAGCAAAGGTTAAACTCCTCATGTCTGCACCCCTGTCAACGTCAGTGTGCTGCCCAGTCTGCTGGGGTAGGTCCTGTCTGCTGGTCCATGTCCAGCATCCTGCTGACACCAGCAGTGGGAAGAGGCGAAGAGCAAGACTGGCACTGAGAGCACGGGCACTCGCAAGAAAAAAGTTGTGTGGTGTGTGCTCTTTCAGTACACATACAGCCAGACAGTTTATTTTTCAGTAGATTTCTTCTTCATCTTTTGGATGTTTCTGACAAATCAATATGAATATATTTCTTTTTTAAAGACAAATTCCTAGCTAGTGGAATTTTATTTTTCATAGTGCAGAGGTTGTTCTTCTTTGTAACTATTTCTAAGCCCTAATGAATCTTACTTCTGCCTGCATTGACTCCATCAATGAAACTATTTCAACTTTTATCAAATTTGCCTGATAAAAATGGTATGAGTGGGTTAACGCAAGAAATTATTTTCTGTTTCTAATAGTGCCAAGTCACAAAAAGAAGTAACCCTATTGAATTTGTTAACTGAGAGATGGTATGGTAGCGCATTTGGGGATAGTCAGGGTGCGACCAAAAAAATCTTAGTTTGTCTCAACATCAGTTAAAAAACCATGATCCCAAGAACTTCTGATTTCTATTTGGAAAGTAATGTTTAAGAAAAAACGAATGACAGGCCTTGAAGTGTAATATCTATGCTAAAAATGGGTATTTATGAAAAGTAAAATAAAAATCAAAGCCCCTCTGTTATGATTAGTTTAATAGGGGAGGGCAATGGATGCCGTAAACTGTCAAAATTCCTGTGTTTCACACCGATCAGCAAACAGATTCTTTAAATACGGTTAAGCAGCACACAGGGAGTGACAGTAATGGGTCAAAAAGTAGTTTGTGTCTTCCTCCAGCTGGAAAGTTTGCAAAGGGTCCTTTCCACACCCCTCGTGGCAACAGAATTCCGCCCTTGTCTTACAATGAGCTCTTATTTTACAGCTCAGGAGACAAGAGGGTTGGTTAACACTCGTGTTGAAGGATTCTTACCCTGTTCTCAGGGGGAGACCAGTGGATGCGTTTTAGGTGGGTGGTTCCAGGGCCTTTCTGTCCTGGGCGCTGAGAAAGTCAGCATCACCTGGAAGGGCAATAAGCTGGTTTTAATCTTTGCTCAAGTACACCCAGTGGCACACATTCAGGAATTACTGTTTCATATGCTGAGCTTGCATAGCCATAACGTGCTCAGCCTGTGTTTCATGTTATGTATCTACTATTTATCCCAATTTCAGACTTGTTAGTCTGAAATTAGACCAAGTTAGTCCTTTTGCATCAGAGAACGAAACCTTCCTAAAAAAATTACTCTTCAGCTCCCACAACAGTTCCTTCCTTTCCAGTTAGCTCATCTTCTCAAATGAGAAGTATGATTAATCCTATTATCCTTGAAAACAAAAATTACCCTGGTTCCTTCACAGAATTATTTCTAGAGAAATATCCTGAGGAGGGAAGGGTTGATAAGCTGAACACTGTCCTAGCAAAAGCCTAACTTCTATCTTTCTCAATAAGATTTGACATTCTTGTGTATCAGTACCTTAAAAGCCAGTTTTACAACTCTCATATTTAATACTGATAGTATTAAATCACTTAATCACTTAAAGCCTTTTTTCATTGCCACTTCCTTGTCTAACAGTGCATCTGGCAAGTTACCTGATAGTTTAAATTTTCCTAGAACAACACAAAGACAAGCGTATCCCTCAGATACACAGATCAAACTACATTCTCAGGATAAATACAGTTTTCGCAACAGCCACTATATGGGGTATACATTTATTTGTCATATGGACATGCAAATCTTCTCCTATCAACTGTTTGAACACTGCCAGCGGAGGCTTGACAACACAACAGAGTCATACTATTTCATGTTACGTTATCTTTTAAGGGTATTGTTATGACGAAGTTCTTTGAAAAGCTGAAAACGTTTCTGGGTTAACTTTCAGTCAGATCAGTAAGCTGATCTAAACCATCATATATTGCACGACGACTGGAGCTGGCAGAGGGACAGGGAGCTACAGGCAGAGCCTGTAAGTAACATTCACTGGGCACCAGAAGAGTCTTCAGAGAACTTGGGGATTTGATTTCATAATCAACTAGCTGGCACCAAGAACGGTGGTTAATACAAAAGCAAATTCACTAGTTTGAAAACCAGAATAGTTAACTATTTCAGGACACCACTGCAGATGGTTGTGTGTAGAACAAGTCCCTCCACCAAGGACTTTAAATGAATCAAAGGAAGCACTTTGTCACCACTGTAGGTAGAAAACTGAGGCGTAGAATAACTGGGTAAATTACCAAGAGAGAAAGTTCAGGTAAAGACCATAAGGAATTCCCATTTCACTCCCTTATATCAAGTTTCTGTAGTATAGTATTTTCCAGAACAGACCAAAAAAAAGTAAAAAAATTTAATTATGATTTACAAATATACAGTACTTACATTTTTCGGAGTTACAAAAACGGCACATACTACAGAAACCAAAAGCTTCCTCTAACCTTTGGTACATTTCAAAGTTATTTATTTACAAAGAAAAATAACAGTCACTTTTCATAGTGTCACATGTTTACATATAAGCATTTCTCAGTTGAAAAATATCTTGCAGCTTACCCACAGGCAGTTTTTGCAGTTTGAGCTCTGCACCCATCTATCACATCAAAAATTCTATCAGCCCCTGTTAAGCTGACATGACATTGCATTTTTATGTTTTAAACAGCCTTTAGTTTGAAAAATATGTACAACCCATAAGGCTACGCCGAATCATAGCTGAGATTTCACCTGGTGTATTTTATATTGCTCATGGTTTGGTAAAATGACAGAGGCTACCTTTTTTAATTAGCTCAGTAACACATGTTTAGAAAAAGGTGGTCCAATTTTGAAGGGACTTAAAAAAAAAAAAGATAAAATGTCCTTTCCAGGATGCTTTTTCACCTTACAAAACTTTATATTAAATTATTCTTTCACTATGTACAACTCTTACCTAAGGTAACGGAGACAAACTGAGCACACTTTCCAAATCCTGTTCATTTCCATTAGTTTCCTGATGCTGGATGTTTTCTAGACTGTACTTTCTTTAAACCAAAACTTAAAAACTTTCTTCTACCTGAGAGCAAACATTAGTATTTCTTAGTCTGTATCTTCAAATATTCTTATAGATTAAAATACTTGCAATAAAAGAAATACAGCCAAAACACATACAGTCTGTTCTTGACATGGACTTACGTGTGTTTACAAAGACTTTCATGCTCTCATGATTTTCAGACTATACAATTTCAACACATAACAGTATGTGAACTCAGTACAATCATCATGGTGCTCAAGGTAGTTTGGGACTACACATTTACAACTGGTAGTTTTTAATTAAGACTAAATACCACCAGAGTATTAGTTATGGTTCAGGTCAAGATTTTTTTAAATTGAAAAATAGAAAAAGCTTGGCATTGCTAGCCATGAACAGAGTTTAAAATGTGTTTTCCAGCATTACCATATTTCCTTCCCCAAAGCTTACTCCACAGACAAAATAAACTCCAAATTCAAGCATCGTTAAAGAATGCCTGCATTCGGGATTTTCTTCGTGCAAGAGCTTCTTGTTTTTTTCTTTCAATCTCTTCTTGAGAACATTTTCTGTTTTTCTGTTCCATCACAGAAGCTGTAAATAAAAAACACGTATTAGGAGCCTTCAGGTTTGTTCAGTATGTATTCTAACTTATCTGTTTTCAATGTTTGAAGATCTATGGCAAGAGCACACTATTCTGACACACCAGGCACCCACGTTAAAAATGGCTCATCTATCCTGTCCTCAAGGCAGGAAGGGGGATAAGATGCATGACCTTTGTAGTGCTGCTGATTACTGCCTCCCAATGAAAATACTGGGATGCAGACATTTGCTTCAAGGAAATTTTACTTGGCTGCCCTTCAAGTGAACCTTGTGACATCGGGAGTCAACATAGGAGATGGCAATGGGTTAAGAAAATTAAGGCTATCAGAGTGAAAAGGGCTCTACAATTTAGTGAGTTAGGCAGAGATATGGGCATGGAGATGGTATAGACACAGGGGTCAGATATAGTACAGGTGTCACACAAATAAAACCAGAAAGGTTGAAAAAAGGTCAAAAGTAGCAATAAAAATCGGCAAAGGAGACAAGAACATGATAGCTAAGCGTAATATTTTATATGTTGTGTTACAGAACTATAAATTCCCATACAATAAAATCCTGACCTCACTGGAACCAACAGGAACACTCCCATCATTCTGAACATGTCAAGAATTCTACCAGTTTTATACAGCAATTTTCAATTAATGTATTTTTAATAAGTAGTCTTTCAAACTGGATAAATAAAGCAAAGGGTCTCGTTGCTTCTTAAAAAAAAAAGTGTTCAAGAAAAATTACGTATAAGTTTTTGAAAGGATCACTTAATGTTCATCTTCTTGTTACAGCAACATCCTCTCACCAAAAATTTAAGAAGAGGACAGTTGTTGTTTATCTGTAAAGAAACTCTATGATATTCTTTTTAATTCCTTTATTCTCTAGAATATTCCACAGAATGACTAGTTATCTCTCCTCTCATTCCCCTCTTAACATCCGAAATTGCTACTTTCCATTTATCTGCTTCTTTGCCGAGTACGAAACAGCGATAAAATACTGGTTCTTCAAATAATGCTGGCTGATAGTTTGCAGGAATTAATTTTTTTGTTGCCTTTGTAACAGTGCTTCCTGAAAACTGAGGTTGATATAGTGCACTCTGAAGGCACGTTTTATCAAAATTCATATCGCTTAAAACTTCACCAAGCCATGAGATCAAGTGAACACAAGACTGACTGGCACTGGACTGGTCCTACATATTCCTAACAAGTAACACCAGTGCATGGAGTATCACAGACCATCACTTGACGATGTAAAAGCGACTGACCTCCCCTCTAGATGAAATGTTGGCATTTAGATGGATAACACATGAATATTTCACTGGCAATTTTGGCCACAGAGCAAACAATACAGGCCGAGGTTTCAGAGGCACTGAATGATTCGAGGTTCCAATTTCCAGGTGTACAATAACAAAAAGAAATTGGCATTCTGTATCACCTGCTGCCTTCTTTCCCTGCCCCACCATTAACAGGCTTTACAAATCATGGCTGAGATAAGTAATTTTTGATGTTTTTCAAAACGAACGGTAAATTAAAACACGGATTCACATTACAACATTTACTACCTATCAAAATAATAGTATTTGTAAGTAACAATTTAAGAATACGGTAGGCTGAGTGCTGCCATCAGCCTATAATTGATCCTAGTGATTCTGAGTGTCTATGGAGAGAGTGTGTGAAGTATTCAGAGCACTGGAATGAAAATAGGAAGCAGACATCCTTAACTACAGGAGTTGAAGAGACGCGTCAGGACAATTTTATTCTGGAGAAAATAACCTCCAGAGTCTTGTCAGAACATTTACTAACACCTATACTGAATGGATGAATATTGCAGCCTATTGTAATTTGCAAAACAGTATAAATTTCTCCTTTGATGTTCTGATTACAGTAAGAAAACAAACAACAGTCTAACAGTGATACAATAAAGACAAATACCTGATGGAGGCAGTGCAAAAGACTCTGAAAGGTGCCTCTTGAAAGGAGGTTTCTTATTGTCAAGCTTGCTGTGCAAAGTCACATTCACCTGATTCTTGCTTCCCTCCAAACCCTGCAGAGTAATTCCAGTAGCAGAAAGGCTCCCTGGATTTTGAGACCCTGCATGAAGAGCACCCTGAGAATTGTTAGTCTTTCGGAACTTAAACTTTGAAGGCACGAGCGATGTTTTGTTACCAGAACCGTTATTTGGCATCTTTCCTGTACTGCACGAAAGATTTGGGTTGTCTAATGTTTTGCTGTTGGAAATGTGTACTGCATTAACAGGATTTACTTCGGAACCAGTCTCTCCTGCCGGCACAGAATTTGACCTGTACCATTTTCCCGAGACAGTCTTCGTAGTATCTTCAGAAGCAGCTTGACGGCAGATTTTAGGCAGCGGGTATTTACACTCCTTAGAAGTACCCGAGGTCACAGTTAGAGGACTCGAGATGTTTCTACAGTTGGCTATGTGACCTGTTGTGGCCAGCCCATGTGAAACCCTTGAAGAATTCCTACAGGAATTGTTTAGTGAGAAAGCGTTCTGTTTTGCATTTGTTTTTTGTGCCAAGAGGAGATCAGGTAGTCCTTGTTTAGATGCTGGGAAGCTGTTATCAGCATTTGATCTGGAATTAATACTGGCTTCTTGAATAGTTTTAGCTCTTTCATTTCCTTGTTTAACATCCTGGCTCCGAGTCTGCTTTTCTATATCATCACACACCTGATACAACAATTCGTCATCCTCACAGTTTGCATCCCAAAGACTATCGGATCCGCAAAACATATCTAATATCTCATCAGAGAATTTCGGTTCATTCCAGTCATCAAATGACGCAGGACATTTCTTTGGAACTTCAGCTTGATTTAAGTGACCTGTATTAGCTTGGTTAATCACTTTAGTTAGATCATTAGGTTTTGTATTGGTAGACACACTGGATGATGGACAGAAAATATTGTGTGTGTTATTCCCAGGTTTTTCAGTCCATGGTCTATGAGGATTAGATCTGGAAGGAAAAAGAGGAAGAGGGTCACTTTTAGGCTGCATAGTTTCATTTCCATTCTTCACTTCAGATTGTGTTGAAACAGGAATATAGTTCAAATCACTGTTGCGGGCACTTTTCCAAATAGAATTTATTTTATCTGGCTTAACGTCACGTTTGCCATGCAAAGCTACAGTCTCCGTCTTTGAGTTGTCTGTCTTGGATGGCTTCTGTAGAGAAAGAGATTTTACAGCATTTCGTGTGTTTTTACTAGAATGTTTCAAAGGTGAAGACTGCAAACCGTTAGATCTGCGCACGCTCCCCAGACAAGTTACTGAATCGCAGCTACTTCTCTCCTTTGTTCTGGTAGCTTCACTGAAACCATGCACAGACGGATTTGTAGGAATCAGTGGTGCTTCTTCAGTACTTATCAATTCAGGATTTTGGGTTATTTGCATCACAAAAGAGTCATCTGCCAAAAAATCTGTATCCCAGTCATCAAAGTCGTCGTTAACTACTCCAGCAAGCTTACTGGAGACCACCAACTGCGTCTCCAGAGAAGAAGGACTTTTTTTTGCCAAGGTGTGAATATCAGGTTTTTGAAGAGTCTGGTTCACGCACCCTAGTGCACACAGAGTATCTTTTTGATATGCCTCTGAATTACCATGCTGCATGTCTTTAATTTGCTCAGGAAGGTGCTCCTCCTCCAAGGTGCTTTTATTTTCATGGAAACTGTTATTTGAAGAAATACCTGGAAGTTCTTGGCTCAACTGTCCGCTACACTTCTGGGTAGAGCAGTCAAAAAGAGCATGAAGGGCTATTTCAGCCTCAAGGTCTATAGACTTTTGACTGCTAGATGGACAGGGCTCTGCAGCAGGGATGCCAGTGCTCTGTCCAACTGGTTTCAGGGACAGAGCAGTGTCTGTTTCAGAAACTTCATCAAGGAGTGATTTCAAGTTCTTCATATTTACTTCACCTTTAGAATTACTTAAAGACTCAGAGGTGGTCTGGATGAAGTCATGACCAAGCTTCTCTTGTTCCTGAACAGCATCTAGCTCTACCAGATTTTTATCAAATTCCTTAGCCAATTTCATGAGTTCCTCTTCAGGATTTCTTATTTTAAGATCTCTAGATTAAAAAAAAAAGTACAGAAAAGAAAGTCAGACCTACTAAAGAGGCTTAGCCAAGCTTAGCAACACTATCACATGAGCTGTTCATTCTCTACTTTAACAACTACAGAGAGTATGACCAACTCCCACCGCTTTCAATGCGCAGTCAGTGTGCCTTCTCTGATAAATCCCAAGAAATATCCCATTAAGAAGAGATAACAAGCCCAAAGTTATGGTTCACTATACGTAAAGGAACATCATATACCCGTTTTCATGAAAGCCCAACGCTGATGGGCAAGACAAAACTGTAACTTACCTTGTGCAAGTTAACTTTGTCCTAGCTCGCACTTTTACTACTCCAGGTGTACAGGGAATAGCATCCTCACCAATCCATGTCCCTAAAAGGGAGCCTTCATTACAGGCTGCTTTTTCATCCTGAATGATTAGATTTATAATGCTTAGCAACTTGATTTCACATAGAGATTGGACTAGACACACACCTTGCAGTAGTTAAAGTTGCTAAACCAATTAAACTGGATCAGACCTGCTGAAAGCCACAGACAGGAGCTAAACCAATACCAGCTAAGTGAGATTACAGTTGTATCACTTTAATTATATCGCTTTAAACCAGGAATTTAATTAAAATAACTGAATTGTACTTTGGTGCTCAAATCTAACGCTCTGTTTACTTCAGGTTCACACATAATCTGCAATATTCACGTTACAAGCTGTGGTCTAGTTTAGTGTACTACTAAGGAGCTAGTTGAGATGCACCATCTTTATCCACTTAAAGCAGCATTAACTGATCAGACAATTTGAAAGAAATAATACTCTGTGTGCTTCTAGGAAAAAAAATCTGACTTCTTCCACTACAACTCATTTATACAAGGAGCCTTTCAACAGAAATAAGTGAACTTTAGAAACCTCATGAAGTGGTTTCAGAGCTTCAAAGTTCAGGCTTGGATTTGAATTCTGAAATATAAGAGATAAAATACTGTAGTAGTAAATTGTCTACAGGGCCAGAGCCATGGGATGTGGGAAATTAACTGCAGGTAAATCAGCGAAAGTAATTTGAACTTTACTAAGTACCAGGGTAGTTCTGAGTAGGTTTTATTTTTCTTTGTATTTTTTTTTTATCTTTAAGAAAAAAGAACACAAGCAACAGATAGTTGCAAATCCTGATATTATTTACATTTATGACAGGGCTGTATTCATTGAAAAGGAAGGAAGTGGCACCTCTTCTCAATGTCCAATTCTTAAGTATAATTTCTCACAAATATGCCAAATAGTGAATACATTTTAAATGGCCCTGTCAAACAAGCAGGCATATTTTGCAAGCTAAATACTACAGAACTGTTTTAGGAACGACACGTTCTCTTCTTGCACTTAATAAAAAGCAAACAATAAGCCAACACTCTTTATTTTCACTTTCCAGGCTCTGGACATTAGGTTCACAGAAGCAAGAGAGAGAAACTAAGAGCATAGATCTTAGGGTAAAAAGGCAAATTACTTAGAATAATGAAGCAGCGTTGCTGTGTTTATATTATTTTAGTCTCTCTCATCTGAATCTTGTTCTTGTACTTGAGCAGTCATTCAGGACCATTCAAAATGCTTAAAAAAACTGCCAATCCAGTATGTGAAGAAACTCTTACCAAGGTAACAGGAGCAATAACTTGTATTCTGAAAGTAAAACTTCCTAAAATAGAGCTGCTGCAAGTCCACTTTCTTAATATGTCCTTTTTTACAGCATCTGTGACTCCTGAGAGCAACCAGTCAAATGCTATGCTTATAATTCAGTCCAGTTTTATGAACATCTTACTAGTTTTCCACACACCTATTCTTACCATGACACTACTGTAACTAAAATAAAACTGAACACTGTAGCAGTATTCTGTTTCATCACTGCATATGCAGAACATTGTTTCAGAAAGTAGCAATTACCTGAGGAGCAATACGATTAACAATTTCTGAAATTTCTACTGCACATCTACCGGTAGACTGTTTGGTTTTTCCATTGCCTATGAAAACAAACAAAAAAACATCTCAAAAACTGCAAAACAATTCAATTTATAAAGCACATCATATCTCAAATAATTCAAATATATGTGCTAAACTCAGAGCTTGATTCAGCATTATACTGAAGAATTTATGGGGTTTTAATAACCATGATAACAGAAAGAAATCGTTTTTCAAGAAATTTGGTAACTTTTAGTACACTTCCACTACGTGCCTCAAACAGGTGCCCTGAAGTCTGGATTTCATTAATGTTACCTGGTCTGTGTGCGATTGGTGAATGAGGATCCCAAAAGATTTCTTGCTGTATATCAGTGTCATTAACAGGAGAGCTGAAAGTAGGTATTCGGGATTTCCTACTCAACGACCTCTTTGGTGTTTTGTGTAAACATGACTCTGTGCAAACAGAAAGATGATCTGTATTAAAAAACAACAAGACCAAAATAACTTAGACCATACAGCAGGACAAGGCACAAGAAGATGCTTTAGGAACTTGAAGAATAAAAATCAAGTTCACTCTCATCAACATTCTTTTACTTACAACAGGAATATTGTTCACAACTATATATTTAACGCAGAATGTGACTATTTGTCAGTTACATCATCGCAGAGGTGACAGCATTACAGGATACTGACAACTCCACGCTCAACATTTGACAGTATGAGAATTGCCACTCCTCCTACCTGAGGGCACACTGACCTCAGCTTACGTTAAGAGAACAACTGCGTGTACCTATATGGCAGAATATTTTGTATTCTGGCTTGCTGTGTCTTTTACCCAGACTCTGATTCGGGTCACAACTGTAACAGGCCCCCAAACTGTTCTGGGTCACAACCTACCTTTGTCTACACTTCCTCCACTGGGCTTTTTCCAGCTAGGACTGCTAAAAGCAGGAATAGAGCTATTCAAGTCCCGCGTGCCCCTGCCTCAGACCAGTAAGTGAGCTGAACACCTACGTGGAGCCCGACTGGTCACCCCCGCCCTTTGGGAAGGACGCTGCAGACACGGAAACCGACGGAAACAGTTTTAAGAGGCGCAGTTACTACAGGAGAAGCATCTCCGGAGATGCTCTGCACTT